ACACTGTATTATTACAGAAACACATCATCCCAATCATTTATGCTGGGAGCCTGGGACACTGGTGCTCTCATGGCCATCTGTCCCATTCCTTCCTTCCTCAGAGGCTTGGCCCAACTGTGACTTCCTCACAGAAACAGTCTCTTCTAACTCCCTGCACTACCATGGACCCTCTCAGGTTCATTACCCTGTTTGTTTCCATGGGAACTTACTCCAATACTTTTGTCTTCTTAATTTTCCTGGACTCTTTCAGAGTGCCAGCTCCTTGAAGACAGGTAGGTCATCAATCCCAATGATGCCTGAGATTTAGCAACCAGTGAGGACCTGGCAAGGGGAGATGTTAAGTGAGTGTCTTCTGACTGATTAACAGTTAAAACATCCATCTCCCAAACTGCCTGTTTCCTCCAGAGGGCGAGGCCTGCTGCAGAGATTTGACTGGGAAGGAGTTTCTGCGCCATGTTGTGACCAAAGTGCCGATCCACTAGGAATGTGGCAGTGGGCGCAGGGAACACACAGCAGACGTGGAGAAAAGATGGCTCCAGCATCTCACCCGCATTGCAAGAGGGGCATTTACCCACGTGGAGCGGGACTGTGGGCCCAAGATGTGTGGGTGAAAGTTAACGGAGACTGTGGGTGGGCACGGAAGCGATCTGGAACCATGGTGGCCTGCCGCGCAGAGCTGGGTGCTGGGCGTTAGTCTCTGTAAGTTTCTCCATTCCACCCCCCAAGATATAAACTATAATAAATTCACATAAAAATATATTATACAGTTTGTCTGATAGCACAAGAGACCCCCAAGGGAATTCTGGTGACAAAATTGGCATTGTCCAGCCTGAATAAATGAACCACAGGCTTGGAGATGTGGGTTTGGGAAAGCAGTGCTGTGCCCACTGCCCCTGTGGATGGTCAGCTGGGCTCTCCTTCCCAAATCCAGGAGCAGCTGCCAGGAACCCAGGGGAGACAGCAATTAAACTCCATAGGCTTAATGGGGTTAGCGATAGTCACGTGGGTTATACAGTGAATTATAAAATCTGTAACTAAACCGGGTGTGGTGGCACATGCCTTTAATCCCAGCACTCGGAGGCAGAGGCAGGTGGATCTCCGTGAGTTCAAGGCCAGCCTGGTCTACATAGTGAGTTCCAGGACAGCTGGGGCTACAGGGAGACCCTGTCTCAAAAAGACTAAAAAAAAAAAAAAAAAAATCTGTAACTAAAAACAGGCCAGCCATGCAGAAACATGGGCCACAGCTATGTTGTAAACGTGGGGGTATGTTGCAAGTATGTGAAGATTTGTTAAAGGTTATCCAGAGGCTAGAAAATCTTTTAGTGGCTCTGGACCCAAACGGAGTGCCCAGAGAGGGGGTGTGGCCACTTTGCATAATAAAAGATTTGCCTTGGGCAGGGGAAGCTCAAAAGGCTAGGGGGGTCCTGGCACATCCAGTTGCAGAGCTGGAGAGAGAAAAAAAGCAGGACACTTTGACTTGTGGAAGGTCCAAGGACTCAGAGGAAAAGACAGATAATAGTAAAAAAGAAAATGACCTAAAAATAAAAGTAGCTAAGGCTGCCCCTCAGATTCAACCATTGATACAAAAGGAAGAAAGAAGCTAACAGCGCTGTAGCTAGGAAATATTCCATACTAAAACTGTTAAAACTAGGAAAAACAAGCAAGCAAGCAGAGAGCCCCTAGTGATGTGGCTTGTGAAAGTGTGGGACATGGGAGCAAATGACATCAGTCTAAGTCCTTTAGAAGCTTCACAGCTGAGTTATATAACCACCCATCTGTCCTTTCGATATAGGCTGTTCAACCTAGGCCAATGCAAGGGGGAGCAGTCCTTAATGGGATGGCTGGTTGAAGGCATTAAAGATACATGGTCATCACTGAAGGAGACTAACATGATTAGCAGGGGCTGGAGGACTATAAAGGAGGGGCAGGCATTACTGAGAGAACTAGGTATGAGAAAAGCAATATATAATGTCCAGTTCATTGGGCCAAATGAGACTGTGTTCACCAGAGATATGAAGGAAAGCTTAATTCAACTGGGACCAATGCTATGGGGTTTTAATGATTTTACTAAGCCCTTTGATGGGACAGGATCTTTGTAAAGGGATAGAGACTTTGGCAAATCTAAATTTTTCTGACCAGCATGTAAAATGTGTCTGTAAAATAACAGAACACCCTATAAGACATATAAAAAAGACCAGACTAAAGAAATGGTCCACTTGGGTTACTCAAAGACAAATGTGGCAAGATTTATGTCAAGCCCAAATTCCCAGAGGAAAAATGGATGGAAAACCAAATTTGGTACTAAGGTGTTTCTGGAAGGTTTTAAAACCAGAACAATTTATAAAAGACATTCAAAGGATAAAAACTATACAAGGGGTAGTTAAGAATACCCAAGGATTAAATAAGATGCATTTCTCTTCTGATAAAGGTTATATTAGGGGTGGAAGCAGTTTTTCCCACCAAGTTCTCCCCCAGCAACCAGGTGTGGTCAATAGGGAGATGACAGATATGGCTACAGTCAGGAGGCAGACCCAGGGCCTGCCTGACTCAGGGAACCAACAAGTGCAGCGGGGACAGGAGGAGCCCCCTGCCTCCTTAGCCCAGTGTAGGGTCAGACAACTGGAGCCAACACCTGTAAGTGTATCAAGAATAAAAGAATACAAAGAAACTCCATGTAAAATCTTCCAAGTGGGAAATAACTCCAAAGGGATAACTAAAAATGGTAAAGAGCTAACTAAGTTAATGCCTTGTACCCATGCTATGGTACCTAACAAGGATCTATGGAGAAAACAGTTAATATGAATGGACAAAACCTTTCCATGCTATGTGAGACCTTGTCTATGATTGATTTAATATATAATGTTAACCTTCCTTCAAGTGTTTTACAGATGTAAAACCAAAAAAAAAAAATCCTAAAAGAAAAAAACACAAGCTATAGCTGTAAGATTCTTGGGAGTTTTATGGTTGGGTAAGATGAGGACAGAGACTCCCAAACTATACAACTGTTAAGAAAATCTATAGTACCAGAGGTGTATTGCCCCCCATGAGCTGTTGGGCAGAGAGCTCCTAGAGGTCCTCAAATTCACCAAGGCTATTGCCATTAATGTCAGTTGTACACTAGAAAGGTCGGTAAGGCCATGTTGCTGAAAACACTGCATGTTGTGAGCACGGGGGGAGAAGAAGAGATGGAGCTGAGACTAAGCCAAAAAACTCCGTGCCACTGGATGGATGATCTTCATATTGTCAGAAGGAGCTATGCAGATGGTTGGGGAAGAAAGGATCCCCTATGATTCTACTTAATGATGGACCTTGCGTGCTGCACACTATGGACATGCCAAGCAATGCCTGTAAGTGCAATAATGGCTCAACCAACATACGTACAACTGACAAATTTCTAATTGGATAAGGCCTGCTCCTAGGGGTGGACCTCACATGTAGTGCTCTAGATCAGGCCAATGCCTTGTGTTGAGAAAGGCTACAGACCCTAATGGGGAAGCCATCACAAGTATACTGTTTAATGAAGATAGCACTCCTACTGGGATATCTTATAGTCATTTGTATTTACATTCATGTTTGTTTAAATGTGTCTACTTCCTTCCATTTGTCTTTATAGTAGACTAAACACCACTGAGATAGATCAATGGCCACAGCTTAAAGACAAATAATGGGGAGGCCCAAGAAATCATTCTCTTGCTTTGATACAAGAGAGAGATTGCCCTACATCTGTCACCCCTCCAAGGCTCAGGGACCTTAGTGGAAGATTGGTGGGCAGATTGTCAGAGCAGAGGAAAAGGGTGGAATGTCTCCTGAACTGCCTGTTTCCTCCAAGGGGCGGGACCTGCTGCGGAGATTTGACTGGGGAGGGGTTTCTGTACCACCTGTGACACTAGGAACATGTGGAAGGAGTGGTGGTGGGGTGTGGGGACTGCGAAGTGGCGGACATGGAGAAAAGATGGCCCTTGGAGTCCCACCTGCATCATGAGAGGGGGCTTCAGTGCACCATGGTTTAATTTGGATCTGTCTTCAAGACAGATGGAATGAGTGAATGTACTGGAATGAAGTGAATACCTGGATCAGTAGTCCTGTTCTCCTGAGCTGTAATGGAGTGTTGGCCATAGTCTCACAGGGACTAGAGAGATAGCTCAGGGGTTAAGATCACTGGCTCAGTTCTCAGCACCCACATGGTGGCTAACAACCTGTAACTCCAGTTTCAGGGGATCAGATGCTACTTCTGACCTATGTAGGCATTGCATGCACAGATGTACTTCCATACAGGCAGGCAAAACACTTGCACATAAATAAGATTTGTAAATACAGCCTCTGATGGCTGTGTACAATGTCCCTGATGCCATGAACTGAGAGCTTAGAGAGGGATGACTGCTATGCTTCATGTGCTGTCTGTACCCCTCCCTTCTTTTTTTTTTTTTTTTTGAGACAGGGTCTCCCTGTAGCCCCAGCTAGCTTGGAACAGACTAGGGTGGCCTTGATCTCTCTGAGATACGCTTGCCTCTGCCTCCAGAGTGCTGGGATTAAAGGTGTGTGGAGCCCTCTTTTATAACTAGTGACAGAAAAACCAGGCCTCACAAGTTTCCCTGTTCCTCAGAGCCTGTCATTTTTTTTTTTGTTTGCATTATTCAACTTTGTTTTGGTTGAGATTGTTTGCAGTGACTAAAAAACATTATAACTCTGTAGCCTCATTATTGTGAAACAAATTCAGTATCTGCAGCAATAAGGAAAAAAAATTAAATATTTGCATTAAAAACCACACAAACTCTTAAAAGGTTTGCATACATTTAATATTCCTTAATTTTTAAAATTCGTTTAATAGCATTCTTCCTGAAAAGTCTCATTTAAAAATGGTACCATGGACCCAAAATCTAACATCAACTGTCAGGCTCAAGGTCAACTCCACAAGAGAACTGAGTATGCACAAGATGCAGGCTCCAGATCTAGGTTATTCCTGACACCCCCGCAGGGGATCTGAACTGGGCAGCCGCAGTGGCGTGGGGGCGTGGCTACGGCGCACGTTTTCCGGGGAGCGTAAGTTCACACTGTGGCAAAGAGATTCAAACCCCGTTGTGGCGGCTGGGCTTGGTGGCTGGAGTCAGCGCGGCGGTCCTGCGGGTGAGGGTGAACTCTGGGCTGTGCGGTTCCAGAGCTGAGGGCACAGGAAGCGAGGTGCATAAAGGCTGATCCCGCGGGGACGCTAACTAGGGAGGCAGTGGCAGCGATGGCGCTTGTCGGGGACAGGCGTTACCGCTCCCGCAGGGAAGTGGGGGTGGAACTAGCGTGTGATTGACTGGGAAAGAACCAATCGGAGGGCCCGGTGCTGGCGCGCTTTGCGCTGAAGTGGAGTGGTGGGTATGAATGATGGTTAAAGCTTGTGTACAAGTGGGAGAAGTGATACTTTGCGACTTTCAGGCATTATTTTATCCAGTGGTCGTAAGTGTACCGCTTACAGAGGCTTATATACCTAAAGTTGCCCCTGAGATTCCAAACTTGGCCTAGAGCCTTTCTTGTTACACAGACTGAGCTGTATAATCTTAGAGTCCAGGAAGGAAGATTGGGATGTGCGCACTGGGCCAGGAAGTGTCAGGAAACGGAGTAAATAACGAGGAGCTGTTTGTGTAGCTCTGTATTAACAGGTCCTTCACTTGGTCTTTCTCTGGAGCTGTGACATTTTCCCCCATGTGTGACGTTAAGCATTGGGATGAAGACCATAGTTTTATTTGGTTCTCATAAGAAAATACCATAGTCCTCACTCATCAGCAATTTATTTCCTACCAATTCTTGTCTAGGATCTGGGAAGTCCAAGGTCAGTGTGTGACTCCATTCCTGGTGACTTCCCTTCATGACATGCAGATGGCCCTCCTTTTGTCTGTGTCCTCACATGGAGAAAGATGGTTTTCCTTTTTGTTTTCAAAAAGCGTTCAGCCCTATTATTTATGACATAACTTCGTTTACATTAATCACTTCCTAAAAACCTTATGTCCAAATTACTGTAACTTGGGGGATAAGCTCTCAAAACATGAATTTGTATAGAGGGTGGGGAGATGTGACCATTCAGCCCCTAGCCATAGTTTACAGGTAGGAAGTATATACTCACATCTAACTGATGACTGGGCAAAGTGAGTACATTCAGAACCAATGTGTACTTGAAAGTGTTTTCACAAATCTTACTTTGCTTAGTGAACAATAAGATTTGCCAGCCTGGACTGGGTGTGGTGGCACAGGTGTTTAATCCCAGCATGCAGGACCCAGAGGGAAAGGCAGGTGGTTCTCTGAGATGGAGGCCAGTCTGGTCTACATTCAGGTCAGTTGTGGCTGCAGGGAGACCCTGTCTTAAAAACAACAACCCCCCCCCCCCAAACCAAAACCAAACCAAAGATTTGCCAAACTGGTGTGTGCATTAGCACTGTGGCACATTCTAAAGAAAACTAGAGAAGTTTGGGAAAGTGAGACTGGGAGACTAGATGTCCTCAATAAATAGAAAATGCATTCTTTTTTTAAAATTTTATTTTTATGTGTATAAATGTTTTGCCTGCATGTATGTCTGTATACCCATGTTATGTAGTGCCCTTGGAGACCAGAAGATGTTGTTTCCCCTGGAATGGAGTTACAGATGGTTGTTAGTCCACCATGTTGACCTGGGAACTGAACCCTGGTCCTCTGCAAGAACAGCCAGTGCTCTTAATTCCTGAGCCATCTCTCCAGCCCCTGGGCATTATTCTTAAATTGTTAGAAAACATGTTAAAGTCTGTGTTTGTCTTGTGCTGATACTGGAAAGAAATCCATCAGTACCACCCACAGGAAAGTGAAACAGTAATCACTTTTGTCATGTTATCATTCTTAAGTTGACTAACCTAGTATTTTTCCTCATACCGAGTGGAAGTGCCATGAAACATAATGCTCTGGGGTTAAGGGGTTGCGAGGGAGAGAGGGGGAGAGAGGGAAAGAGGAGAGAGGAGAAAAGCAGGGGAGAGAGAGGGAGGGAGGGGCAAGGAAGAGAGGGGTGGGAAGGAGATTTCTAAGTTTGAACAGTTTAACTTACTGGAGCGTCCATTTTGTGGTCTAAAGAGTAGAGCTGATAACAATTTTAACCATAGACTGTAGTTGTGAGGTTTTATGAAAATTGTTAGTTTTATGTAGTCATAAGCCATTAGAGAATTGGCCCTCTTTCTAAAGAGAAACCTGTCTCCAGTCCCCTTTTCTAACAGTCCAAAGAATTTATTCTCCAGAATTCTTTGAGAATGCTTGTGTGGTACTAGAGCTCCTGGTTCTGGGTTCTTGGGGATAGGCAAGTTCTTCCTCTTGGGCAGCTTACATTTCAGCAAGGAGGAACAGTAAATAAAAAAGTTCAGGTAGTGCTAAGAACTATGAAAAAATTCAAGAGAGGTGATGCGATAAAGGAATGGCTTGGTTGACTCCTCATTCCCCAAATGGGAAGTCGCAGTTGCCAGGCCCAAGTGATTTTTGTCAGCCTGGCATCTTACCAGTCTATAGGCGGAGTAGTGATCTCTCTTAAAAAGACAGGATATGTTAATCAGGTTTTCTCTTGAGAATGGAACTAAGGGACAAGGAAAGAAATGTTATTTGGTAGAGGGCGCTGAAACTGAAAGGGAGAGGCCGCTAAAGAGGCTGTGTGCAGGCTGAAGGTTTGGGTAGGCAGAAAATGTAAGTTGAAGAAGTCAGATTGTGACTCCATGTGTCGTTCGATCAGGAGAATGATAGATTGCCCGTGGTATTCAGTCGTTGGTGAGGTTCCTGCACTGTCTTGAAATGTAAGCTAGCTTGCAGTTCTCATGTGCAAAATGCCACCCTGCCAGCCGCCTGTGTTCCTGGTTTTCCCACATAGTGCCAGTTCCTGATCTCCGTGTGCCACGTCTGGAATCTCCCTTTTAGTCCTGCTGGTTATATCACCAGGTGAGCTTGGCTCAAGCAGCACTGTCTGGACCTGTGCCAAATCCATGGTGTTCTTGCTATTTGAGTCACCTGTTAACTTTCCCCTCCATGTCCTCCCCTCTTCTCCCTTCCTATGGTAGATTAAGTGCAGGACTGCTGCTAGGCAATCACCACTGACCTGTATCCTCAGCCAGCAGTTATTTAATTTCTGGTAGCGTCAGTGTCAACAGCTGTGTCCTTTCCTGGTGATGACAGATGAAATGAGATAATAAAAAAAAGGGTCTGTAGAGTGTTTAACACGTGGCAGATGCTCAGAATTCGTTAGTTCCTTTCTTTTTCCCCCTTTCCATCACATTTTAATGGCTTTTCAGTTACATAGCTATTTCTCATTATTCTCCTAGTTTGCTATATGAGTTGTTGTTATTGTTTTGTTAGGTCATTTTACTACTCCTAAGTTATAACTGGAAGAAAACTTTGGCATTTACTTTGCCCTCATAAATGGATTAACACTGTCACTGTCATTGAGGACAATGTAGGAAAAACATAGGTTTTTGACTTATTAATGATAAACTGGGTTATAGGGTTATTAGTGTTTGGATTTATATATATTTTATTTATTTTTTGTGTGTATGCGTGTATTGCCTGCATGTATGTAAGTGCACCTGTGTTATGCAATGCCCGAGAAGTCAGAAGAGGGTGTCGGATTCCCTGGAACTGGAGTTATGGACAGTTAGCTACCATGTAGGTGCTGTGAACTGAACCTGGGTCCTCTGCAAGAGCAGCCAGTGCTCTTAACTGCTGAACCATCTCTCCAGCCTAGTATTTGGATTTAAAAGAGATGGACCTGTGCAATATCTTGAGAATGAACTCTCAGAAAGAGAGGTATGGGTAAGTGTGTAATGGCAATCCAAATGGCAATTAAAGAGACTATGGTAAAATACCTCAGGAAAGCATAATTTCAGAAGAGGAGACAGAAGATGAAATAAACATGGAGTTGAGGGCGCTTACCTGGGAGGGAAAAAGAAATGCTGTCTTTGGCTTTGTAATTGGGAAGCCTGTCTAATCAGAGCCTAGTAGCTATAAAGAACATTCTTCTAATCTGGGAGTATCTAATCTGTTGGATACTTCTGGGTTTTGTGGGGCGGGGGGGATGGGAGAGCAGTTTTAGGACTTTCTACTATTGAATCACATCCCTACCCCCAGAAAGCTTATTTCCTGAGGCTAGAAAAACATGACCACCAGATGACCCTGCTTATATTGCAGTAGAGGTTAGGATAAAGAAAAGCAGATGGGAGCTATGAATCAGGAAGTTGTGAAATATACTTGTGACTTCTGAACAAGTTGTGGTGGTGATTCTTTGCCATGTCCCCTGGGCCTTCGTCTCTGGAGCAGGTGAGGCAGCTTGGGCCATTGCCCTGTTGCATAGGCCTTTGAGAGAAATGCTGCAGAAGGAATCTCAGGGGGCAGCTGTGATCCCAGCAGCTCTCACTTGGTGAGGAAGGCTCTCTGTACCTGTAGAGGTATTGGAAAGATATCCAGCAGCAGGGATAGCAGGGGAGGTTGTCTTAGAGCTTTCCTGGCTGCATTCTGCTACAGCTATTCTGACGAGGTTCACCAGATGGATTTTATGGTTCTGGTATGTCGTGTGTGTATAAAGGATGAACAGAACATGGTCTTTGCTTGCCAAAACTGTACAATTCAGAGGGAAATTCTGTGACAGGTGTGAGAACTGTTCTCAGGTGCCTGTGTAGATTTCAAGCCACTCCATGGCTCATGAGCGACCTTGTAGATTTCTCTTATATTTTTACCCTAGGACAATGGCTAGTGGAAGCCAGGAGGTTGGTGGCATCCATTTCCCGTTTCCCTTCCCACCGTATTCCATCCAGAAGGACTTCATGGCAGAGTTGTACCAGGTTTTGGAGGCTGGCAAGATTGGGATATTTGAGAGTCCAACTGGCACGGTGAGTGTGAAGGGTGAGGGAGTGTCGTTAAGACACCTTGGAGGCAGCAGTGCTGTCCTGACTGTTCACAGAGCAGACGTTCAGTCCCTGGAAAGAAATTGCACACGGCAGTCTTTTGCTTTATCTTTCTACATAGGAGTCACTTCCTCTATTCAATTGTTGAACAGAGTACCACGGTCTGAGGAAAATTAGGCTAAACTCACCTGAGAATTGAAGTGGCCATGCAACCATAACATCAATATTGTGGAGATTTCTGGAGCACACAGCTGCTTTGCTGCTGAGGAACATAGAAATGACTTTGGCATTTTCATAGATTATGCATAGTACTTTAGTGTGTAGGCCCCAGCTGAGTGCTGTTGCTTTCCAACCAAGAGCAACTTTGTTTTCTTTTCTGATCGAGGTTGAGTGAGAGGTGTATGAGGTGGTCTGCTGAGGGTGAACAGGGCTATGACCAGTCCCCTTCACTTGCATGACAAGGCCTGTGTGGTAGTGAGCTATGTATTTGATATGAAGATCCTCAAACTAGATTTCAGTCTCCTGGAGGGTAAGGACCTGTGTGGTCCCTCTTAACTGCATCCTTGGTATCTAGCGGAGCTCCACAAGGTTGGCCCACAGGAGGCTCTTTGTATGAATGTGCTGCTGAATTAAGAACTAAACAAAGTGACGTATCCCTTTCCTTGCTTGCGGACAGAAATGCATCTCCAGAGATGGTCCCCATCCTCTTGGGACAGGAAATGTGTTCGCTGGGATACTCTGTTGTTCCATATCATTCCTTTTACACAGTGAGTGGGAGTCAGTGCTGCCAGTTAGCAGAGTGCCTTGTTCTCTAGGCAAGGTTCCGTTAGCATTCTTATCTTCCTGGTGCTGTATGACTTCTTCCCCTACCAACCCACTGCAGTGTTTGGTGGTTTTCCTAGTTACCGTGTTTTGCTATTTCAAGTCTACTTTGACTATTTGATATTGTTAAATATACATCTTTGCTTAAAGTAATTAAAAAATTTGATCAAATAATCATGCCATTGAAAAGGTCAAATATATCAAGTTGGCTCTGGTGGCCCAAGGTTATAATCTCAGCGCTCTGGAAGGAGAGGCAGGAGGAGTGCCAGCCTGGGCTATACAGAGAGACAGCCCCCCAAAATGAAACAACCTCCCAAAATGAAAATCACCCCCTCAAAGTTAGAGATACATGTGTTAGTTCCTGGGGCAAATACTTTCCATTATTTTAGGTTGAAGAAATAGACTTGTGTGGCTCTAAGTTATGAGCTTAAGCATCTTTGTCTTCATGTATGTCTTTCCATCACTGTGGCCTTGCTGTTGTGAGAGATACGATGCTCTGTTACCTTCCACCTCTCCCCATTGTCCTCATACTTTCAATACAGTTACAGGTTCATCTCTAAGATGAACCAGTATTTTAGGAGAATTTATTTTCTTGTGAATTTTCTTTTTCTAGGATTAATAGTAGCCTTCTGAAAGTTGGTACAGTTTTTAATGTGTCTCTCATAAGTCTTCTGAAGCTGTCCACTGGCTTCTCAGAAAATTACTGTCAGTTTCCTTGGGCCAAAATGACAAAATACTGTAGACTGGTGACTATAGCAACAGAAATGAATTTTGACCTAGTCCTGGAGGCTGGATAGTCCAAGATCAATGTTCTGTGAGGATTTGGGTTCCTGACTTTGTGTGAGTACCTTTCGTGCTGTCCTCAGGAGTTGGAGGGAGGAAGAAACCTCTGATGTCTCTTCCATTATAAAGTTCTGTGGGATCAGGGCCCCACCATAAGACCTTGTTTAACCTTAATGATCTGCTTAAAGGCCTCATCTCCAATACAGTCACCTAGGTCTGTCTGTTAGATTTCAGCCTTTGAATTCTGGGTAGATACTGTTGAAGCTTAGCACTTGCTAGTTCAGTTTTATCCTCCAGACTTCCTTATCTTTTCTGAATCAGTGGCTCCATAGATCTACTTCACAATTTCTAGAAATTCCTAGGGCTTCCTTTTTAAAAATTCCTTTTCCTTTTAAAAAAGCCAATTTTGGCCGGGCGTGGTGGCGCACACCTTTAATCCCAGCACTCAGGAGGCAGAGGCAGGCAGATTTCTGTGAGTTCAAGGCCAGCCTGGTCTACATTGTGAGTTCCAGGACAGCTGGGGCTACAGGGAGACCCTGCCTCAAAAAGACCGAAAAAAAAAAAAAAAAAAAAAAAGCCAGTTTTAAGGCTAGGTGTGGTGGCACATGTCTTTAATCCTTTAATCCCAGCACCTGGGAGGCAGAGGCCCGTGAATCTCTATGAGATTGAGGTCAGCCTGGTTTACATAGTGAGTTCCAGGCCAGCTAGGACTACAGGGAGACCCAAAGTCAACTTTGAGAACAGTTTGACACAGGATAAAATGTACCATGTTTAAGACCAGAAGTTCTAGGTTTTGACTCATGTAATAATCCATGTCACCATATCTATAATCAAGATGCGGTGTACTATATCACCCCTTAAAATTCCTGAATACAGGCCGGGCGTGGTGGTGTATGCTTTTAATCCCAGTACTCAGGAGGCAGAGGCAGGCAGATCTCTGTGAGTTTCGAGGCCAGCCTGGTCTCCATAGCGAATCCAGGCCATCTAGGGCTACAAGGAGACCCTGTCTCAAAAAGACCAAAAAAAAAAAAAAAAAAAAAAAAAAAAAAGTTCCTGAATACCTCACAATTGGTCCTTAACATCTCTTCTTCCACTCCTCCCTCCCACTGCTAACCTCTCTCTTCCTCCTCCTAGTCCCAGTTTTGGTCAATTACATATTTTTAGTTTGAGAATTATATTATTCTCTTTCTGTCTTAGTAGACTAGTTTTGCAAGTGACCAGCCTGTACTTTTTTGTGTCTGGTTTTTACTCATCCAACATAATTTTATCTGGATTCATCTGTGTTGTTGTTCTTTTACTTTTCTTATTTTTCCTGAAGTAGATTTGGGTTGTTTCCCAGATTCCATGTTTTGTGTGTGTGTGTGTGTGTGTGTGTGTGTGTGTGTGTGTGTGCGCGCGCGCGCACGTGTGCGAGTGTGTGCTGGGGGTTGAAACCAGGGCCAGGTGTGTACAAGGCAAGCATTCTACCAACTGGGCTACATCTCCTGCCCTAGGTTGGTATCTTCTTGGCCACGCTGTCTAACCCCAGCCAAGGAGAGTTTAGTTACCATTGTGTCTCTGATACACAGCTTTCCCATGAGACCTACTTGAGGTGCCTGTGTTGCTGTTGGTCTCTGTGTAGACTGGGTATTTCCGGTTCTTGGCATCTTGCTCAAAGTACAAATAGCAAAGTGCCAAGGAATTTTATTCAGAAGCAAAGCAGAAGTATAGTTTAGATACATTGTGAGTGAGCAGAGTGTCCCTGAGTTGTTGTTTGAGGTTTCCTGTTGTGGGGTCTAGGTGAAAGAGGAGTTGGTTGCTAGGGGGAGGGTATGAGGGTCCTTCTGTTTCATTGACAGACTTGGGGTATCTGTTCACCGCTTGTGTCCTTTTCCTATAATGCATCTGATTTTAATCATAGACAAAAGGTGGTAAAACGAGACTTTTCCCTGAAGTTCACTCAGAGGACACAGTTTGCCTTATTGTGCATGCGTCCAAAACCAGTCCATTGAGCTTTGAGAATCAGTGCGGAGTCCCAGAGCTGGAATGCAGATGAACTAGTAAATATCCAGGAACCCAGGCAGGGAATCTAAAACTTATTTATGGTGGCTTCTCCCAGGGCAGAGCAGTCTCCTCTGGAGACTCTGAGCTGCTCTTGGATAGCAGCTCAGAGGGCTAAGTGGAGAAAAGGCCTTAGCTCCAAAGTTTGATTGAACCCAGTGGGCCTGAGGAGCAGCTTTGGCTCCACAGTTTCTTCTCTCGAATTGTGCTTGCTTCCTAGGACTCCATAGCAGAGTACCACAGACTGAGTGTATGTAGCAGATACCCATTTTCTCACAATTATGGAGGCTCAAAGTCTGGAATCACAGTGTCAGTGGGTTTGGGTCCACGACTTTCCTGGTAGATGCTGTCTTTTTCCTGTGTCTCATGGTGCCTTCCTTTATGTGTATATCTAAATTTTCCCTTTTCGTAAGGGTCCCAGTCCTTAGAAGCAGTAGGGCCCACCTAAGAGCCTCCTGTTAACTAATTGGATCTACAATGATTCTGTTTCTAAATAAGTTCACATTTTGAGCACCATAGTTAGGAGTTATGCATAAGAACTTTGAGGGGATGTAGCTGAACCTATAACAAGGACCCATGGAAAATTCTGACCTTTAAGTCAGGAATAGTGTTTTGGGGGAGCAGTTGTCTTCAGCAGTAGCACTCCTGTGATGGATGAAGTTGAGTCTACCCATTGATTTTGTAAAAACTTAAAGTCAAATGTGGCCTTGGCAAGTGTTTTGGGTTTCATGCTCTGTATTTCTTTGCTAATTTTTCACCATTGTCTCGTTATGTTGACAGTATTTTTATGTTAAATTCTTTTCGGAACAGTGAGCTCTAAGATTAGAAAGAAGCTCCTTGGGCCCAGGTGTTACTTCTTCCTTCTCCTGTTTCTATTGGTTATTCTATTACTGATTCCCTTCCTTTCTTTCCTAGATGGTCTTAGAGCATCCTTAAGTTTTCAGAACCAGAGCTTCTTGGAAGTCCTTATTAAAATGGGAAAGTCATTTCAGAAGCTTTCCTTTTTGTCCTGTTTCTGAATATCTATTTTTGTCCTTTAGGGCAAGTCCTTAAGTCTTATTTGTGGGGCCCTTTCCTGGCTCCGTGACTTTGAACAAAGGAAATTGCAAGCAGAAGGGCGTCTCCTTGATCCTGGATCTGGCCCCACGTGTGGTGGGCCTGCCCTGCCCCTGTCTCTGTCATCTTCCTGCCAAGAGCCCCCTGATGACACTCCAAGACCTGCTGGAGAACCTGACTGGGTTACTGATTTTGTGCAGAAGAAAGAACAACGGGAGCTGATGGAGCGCCTGCGGGTGAGCTCAGAGAGTGAGAAGGCGGAGTAGTCCGGGAAGCTAGCCTCATTGATTATTTTTAGTTTAGCTGATATTGTAGTCCCGTATCACTTGTTTCTGTGGTAACTTACAGGCCTTATGTGAACTTGTGTCACTATCTCTGCTTCTTTGCTGTCTTGAACTGATGCTAACATCTCTTCTCCATTTGCGACTCACCTGGGAAGGACTCAGTTGAGGAATGAATTTATTGTGTGCCTTTGGAACAGAGAGGATGTAACTGTGCTGCACTGAGGCCAGACCTGTGGAGGAGGAGTGGAGGGTCTGGCAAAGGGGTCCCTAAGTAGACCTCTTTTTGAGAAAGGCCTGGGTAGCTCTTCCCACAGGACTCTCCTTCATGGTTACCTCTGATTTTAGGAGGAACAGGTAAAAAGGAGGAAGCGAGAAGAGCGTCTGCAGCGGATCTGCCAGGATGTGAGGCTCAAGCATGCAGCCAAGCGTCTGGTGAGTGTGACTGCAGGCTGATGGGATGTGAGACAGGTTGGTAGTGACTGGGATTGAGAGGAGAGAGCAGAGTGGCTGACTCCACTCCTTTCTACTCTTGTCCACCGTCTCCTCGGTCAGTAGCTGGGATCTTGAGTGGTGGAGGCTCTGAGTCTGGAAGAGGATTTCTCCCTGAGTCAAACATTGGGGCTAATCCTATAAAGGTGAATGCGGGACTCTGTCCTTGGTGACAGTGCCGGAGGCCACCTCTGCCAGGGAGTCACCTGGGGGTTCTGATGCCGAGACAGCTTCCCTTTTCCAACTCTGATTCTTCTACCCAGAAACAGGAAGAAGAGGAGACTGAGAGTCTCCTGCGCCTCAGCAAGGAGATGCTGGCTGGGGGAGCAGGCCCAGAGCAACAGGAACAGATAGAGGGTGGAGAGGAAGAGCTGGTCCTGGCAGAATATGAGAGTGATGAGGACAGAAGTGCCAAGAGGTGAGACTGCAGCTTCATGTCACTCTACATCCCTGTCGAGGTAGCTTTTCCCTCAGGCCAGAGGCACTATGAAGCGCTCTGTGAGGGGGCCTGACGGCTACCTGCCCATTTGTTCTAAGTTGGGCTTCTTTTAGGGTCCATAAATGCTGGTGACAACCATGCCTGGGTCTTCCTTTGCACTGTTCTCTTGTGTGTGTTGAGTCAGTTTTCCTCACAGCGGCTCAGAGCAGGTGCTATGTCTGGGCCACAGCCAGGGCTCAGAAATGTGGGGCTATGTCTGGGCCACAGCCAGGGCTCAGAAATGTGGGGCTGGGCCTGCGTGCAGTTAGCCTGGCTCTAGATCTCATATTCTCAACCACCAAATGTCATCATGTGTGGCGTGCATGACCCAAACTGTCAAGGAGTCCCTGTCCTAAACTCTGGTGTTGCTTGAGGTTTCTGTTGGTCCAGAAGTGGTGGATTCTACTTACGCACTTCACTTGTGAGTGAGCCAGAAAACCCCAGAGGGAGGGACCTGGCTACTTCTGGATCACTCAGCTCCTCTCCAAGTTTTTATTTTTATTCCCACATTAATTCCAGTGAGTGAGGCCCTGGCCTATGTGCTGCGGCTTGGAGTTACACTCCAGACACACAGTAATCACAGGTGTCAGTGTTCACATAAGCCATAGTACATGCTATGACTTTAAGGAGGAGGACAGACCTTTCCCCAGCTGGGGGCTTGTGAGGGGTGAATTTGTGGGAAGTTTAATTAGGTAATTGGCATAGGGTGGGTGTGGACTTACCTGTGAATAGCGTACGTTTTAAGGTTGGGAGACAGGTGGTAAATGTGCAAACAGCACCATTTTGAAACCAGCCTGTTTGCTTTGAGGAAAATGAAGTGGTCCCACAGTGTGTGGTGTCATATTTTCCAGAGGTGAGAACTTCTGAGGAGCTGACAGAGGCTTAGGAATGCCTGGAGCATGACGACTGGTCGGGAACATACAAGCACACTGGGCTGGATATGGGAACAGTGTGTGCTTGAGGGAAAATAAGGCCCAGGTATCAGAGCAAAGGGAGAAATAGAGGAGAGAGAAGATCCAAGGTTGAATCAGCTGGCAATTTCTTTTGTCTCATAGCCCATTAAAGACTGGATGGATATCATAGTGCTTCAGGAGGCCTAATTGAGAGTGATGTGCTCCATTTCAGGCATTAGGAAGGTCCCTCAGGCATTGAAGTTCACAGCTGTTTCTCAAAGGCATGAGGATTAAGAAAACCTATCACTTATATCATTTATATGTTTCGTGTTCTGATGGACATTGTGGTCACAGTGACTGTCTATAGTGTAACATCAAGGGCTAAAAGCCTACATGAATCCAGGAAGGATGAATCCAAACCCTTTACAGGCTACATGTAGCACCTGTGGCTTCACCTCCTGCCACCTTTTGTCAGATACCAAGTATGGTAGCTGTTTTGATTTCCTAAATGTGCCAAGTCGCCCCCTTTTCTTTCTGAGGGTTTACAAATGTTCTTCCCTCTGTTCAAAACATCCTTCTCACCTCTGTTGGCAAATTTCTTCACCTTTTTAAAATCTACCTCCCAGTCCCTGTGGCCTGGATGCATTAGCCACTTACTGTTTTCTTTTTCCATTGGCTTTTTTAGACCAGTTCTCACATTGTAGCCTAGACTGGCCTTGAAGTCTTGTGTACCACAGTGTTGGCTGGCCTTGTACTGAAGGGGACCCTCCAGCTCAATATACTGAATACTGGGGTTACAGTGTGCTGCAGACCTTTCCCCAGGTGGGGGCTTATGAGGGGTGAATCTGTGGGAACTTTAATTAGGTAATTGGCATGGGGTTGGTGTGGCCCTGCCTGTGAATAGCTTACATTTTAAGCTTGGGAGACAGGCAGTAAATGGGTGCAGACATCACCAGTTTGAAAGCAGCATGAAACCATACTCAGCTCCACCTGTTTCCAGCTAAGCTGGGACCTGCTGGTGTTTGAGTTTTTAGGCTTTTCTTCCTTCCTAACACTGGACTATAAGCTGTTCCAAGGCAGGAGCCAGGTCTTCATTTAAGGGTTTATTCTCAAGAGCTGAAGTCACATTTGGCATATATGTGCTTAGTGCAAGATCTGAGTGAGCACACATGAGCTTTTCTGTCCTACAGTATAAATTTGAGAATTTCAGAAATGCCAAATGTCAGCGGTCTTGGTTGAGTAAAAGGTTGTGATCCCCACTTATTTATATCTGTGTGTGAATGTACTTCTTAGTGGTAGTAGAAGACCTATAGTTTTCACTGTATAGGCTAAACACCCACAATCACCACCTGTCTCCCCACAGAATGTATAAGAATGCCTGAGTTAGGTACCCAGTGTGTGCTCAGCTCTTGGCCATTTTTCCTTTAGTCTTTTCAGTGTCATCCAGTGTCATGAACTGAGTCACTGAGTTAACTAAAAATGGAGGTTTTTCCTCTCTGCTAGAAACTTTCTAGAAGTCCACAGTTGTGTAGATTTCTCTCTCACTAGCATTTGCCCTCTGAGAAAGATGCCTGTCTTTTCCTACAACTAAAACCCTTCCTGGTTCTCTGAAGAGGGTAGATGATAGGATCACTGACTGCGGGAAGGATGTGCTGGGTTAACACTTGTACACAAAGAGCAGGAGCTGGATAAGGCTAAATTGGGCCTGCCCAAGGTGGTAGGATGTTGTGTTAGTCAGGGTTCTCTAGAGGAACAGAACTGATAGAATGAATATATATTATGTTCATATATTCACATGAGTGATATATATTAAAATATTTTATTAATCAACTTACTTAGAAGTGAAAACAACTGAATCATACCAGAGAAACTAAGAATGCAGTAATTGCTCGGTGCTTGAGTCTGTCTGCCTCAGCAGTCTGAGTTGTACCCCAGAGGCTTTTTCACACTGGAGTGGCTGAGAACTCAGTTCAGTTTGTGCCTCAGCAGTCTCAATCTAGTCTGGAAAACCTGGACGGTTCCTAGAGAGATGCTAATCCCTAGTCAATGATGGAAGCCTGGAAACACTGGTTCTGATATCAGCAAAGAAGTCAGCAATAAAAAAAAATTCTTGCTGGATGTGGCGGCACTTCCCTCTAGCTCTGCTTGGGAGAAGGCAAACAAACCGGAGGAATAGACTTCTGCCATCCCTTTTTATAGTAGGAGAAGGTGCCGCCCGCATTTGGGTTAGGTCTTCCTACATTACTTAAGGCAATTAAGGCAATTGTCAGGTGAGGCTCTCTCCTCAGGTGATTCTAATTTGTGGAAAGCTGACACTAAAACCAACTCTGGGGGGAGGAGGCATGAGCGCTCATAAACACCACAGCCTTTAAGGTGGCTTTGTGGTGTCCATTTATTTCCTAGAGACTTGAGGACAAGGGTACGGCAAAGCACTTGAGTGATGTCGCTGATTAGAGGAATGAAGTGTTCCCTAGGGCCTGGTCAAGGGCCATGAATCCCCCAGCTTCCTATCCCCAGCTTTTCTATAGGGACTTGAGCATCTCTTTGGATACAACAGATGCTGTATATGAAATGTTTGCTCTTAGCTGGGCATTGTGGTTTGTAATCCCAGAAGTTGAGAGTCTGAGATAGGAGGATTTAAGACCAGCCTGGGCTACCTAGTGAAATCCTGTTGAGATAGTTAAAAAAATTGTTTTATTTTGGGATTATAAACTCGTGCAACCCCTATGGAAAGCAGTGTGGAGAACTCTTAAAAATCTAAAAACCAATGTGCCATATGACCTGGTTATACTACCCCTTGGTATATACCCAAAGGACTCTTGTATTCTATTGCAGAGATACTTGTACATCCATGTTTGTTGCTGGTCTTTTCACAATAGCTAAGAGATGGAAGCAACCTAGGTGTCCCTCAATTGATGAGTGGATAATGAAAATGTGGTTCATATATACGATGGAGAAATACTCAGCAGTAAAGAAAGATGAAATCATGAAATTTGCAGGTAAATGGATGGATCTAGAAACTTTTATACTAAGTGAAGTTACACAGACTCAGAAAAATAAAAGACACATGTTCTCCCTCATTTGTGGATCCTAGCACCAAATCCTTATAAGTGAGTGCATATCCTGATGTAACTGCAGGGACCAGGAATATGGAAGGAAAACAGGAGGTAAAGGGAAAGAAGGAGCCTGAGAGAGATTAGTAGGAGACAGGTGTTACTAAGGGAGAAATGTGTAAAAAGGGGATAGTTAGATGGGAGGGGGAGAAGGAGGGCTATACAAAGAACTATGGGGATAAAGAGGAAGAAGGCGCTCTAGAGAGGTGGGACCATAGCAGACAGAAATTATCAAAGGAGAAATGGGGAAAATGGGGACACTTTAAATTGGGAGGGCAGGAAGGGAGGATAAGATAGGGAGGGAAAGAGGAGAAATAAATAGTGCCTAAGTAGTATAAAAAACCAGAGGGAATTGTATTTGTCCAAAAACCTCCTGAAAAATTACACGTAACAATATCTCTACATGAGTCTGTGAGTATAGCTGAAGACTACATAACAAGAAACTGTGCCAGACAGGAGAAACCTTCCTTTGAGTTGTTGGCCAGGGTAGTCCAAGAGACTCCCAAAATTACACAGGCTATTGCCACAGTCCTTGATTGCCTCCCAGAACTTGAAGGTAAGACCGTATTGCTGAAGACAGGACATACTTTGGACTCAGGGTTTGGAGCAACAGAGCTGGAACTGACCTGGAAGCCACCTCCCCTGAAGTCTAGCTCACATAGCTTTGGAGAATACCATGCAAGCTGCTAAGGGAGAATATCAATCGATGGTTCAACCTTCAAGGCCTAAAAAACCACATCAATGACCAGCACAGCAAACAGCATTGGTGTAGTAGTGGCACTTTTATATTGGGGGTAATCAGCAGCTACTTAATTGGACTTAAAGCCCACTCAGTGGGAGGAAACTCCTGTGTGGTTTTATAAACCTAGTCAAATACCTATTACTGGCAAGGTCATAGATCTTAAAGAAAACTCCAAGGCTATTTCATCCGTAG